AACGGTTTCAAGCAAAAGCAACCGAAAATAAAACGGAAACTTAAGCTGTCACTGATCATCTATCGTCCATGAACGAATATAAACGCCTTAAGAGCAGCTAGATCGTAGGTTGGATCTACACCAACAATCTTTCCTTCACTGTGAAAACCATTGCCTCTTGCGTCCGCAAGGTAAACCTATCAAGAAGGGCACCAAAGAAACTTTGAAACTCAAACGAAATGACATGAACTCCGAAAATAAGGAAACTTTAACGAAAAGCTTCTGGTACTGTTCACTTTAACGAAAAACCATATTTTTACACTAAAAAATCAATCTTGGTACTGTTTAATTTACTCTTTATTTTGTCCTTATCGTTAAAACTCAAAGTTTTCAAGCCTTTTCCATTAGTTTTCCTCTGAAAATAAACCATTCGATAACATTCAGAACAAGAAGGTAAGTATAGGACAATGCTTTTAGATCTAATAAAAGGGCAAAACCTTTCAACGCTGTAATCCGCTTTGATCTGCAGCCAATTTAGCTGCAACATGGTAATCTGTGACCCGGAGGCACGACGGATTAACTGAGTTTAGGAACATAGTAATGATCTGGGAGAAGATGCAAACCAATAGACAAAATCTGTCTTTACTGCATCGAAATTAAAGCACAGCTGCAGATGCGTATAAAAACTGCTACATCATTGCTGGAATAATCTTATTAGCAAAACTAAGCCTGTACAAGTTTGTAGATTGTGTTTTCTTCCTTAGTACAACTGATGGAGAAGTTTCCTGCAAAAACACATTACAACTGGTGAAGAATGAGAAAAAAGAAACCATATGTTTGAAATCACCAGTTCATTGAGACGAGGTTACTAAGTTCTTTGAAAATCTTGCAACGACAAAATAACAATTCATCGAGTTAATGTTAATAACATATGCACCTAGAAACATAACACAGAGTTTGGTTTACACGGAAGCGGTTTTTGAGAAGCAATGACTATAAACCATAGAGTTTGATTTGTTTGGGAGCAACTCTAAGAAGGAACGGGTTTCCGAAACCATCTGAATTTTATGCATAGGTGGTTCATCAGTGTGAATTTCTAGTTTATCTGTAACTTATTTGTTCCATATTTTGAATAAAGTCTTCTGAGCACAAAACTCATACACAAACAACCATGAGACCCACCCCAAGCAAATCCCAGAGATCCGGGCAACAAGTTCGTAAAGCTTTCAAACTGATTTCAGAAAATTAAGCAATACCTAGCCATAAAAAACTACCAATTAATCACATCAGAAGCCACATGGGTCACAAAAAATTAAGGTTGAATGATCGTATGATAGTGTCATTGTTATTGTTAAAAAGGTGCATTTGAGGTGTAAAATAACTAAAAAGTTATGAATTTTGAGCTACAGATTGATCAAAAAATTATTAGAAAAGAAAAAGGTGACAATTTTCCAGTAACCCAGCTCCAGTTTCTGTATAATATCAACAATTCCCTTGAAAAAAGCTGCTCTCACCATCCAAGTTCTTATCTTTTCTCAACTAACCACATAAACAACCAAATGGGTAAGATCAAATTAGCCAAATTAACATAATCTATCTCAATTCTAAGACCTACATTCAATTCAATGGAAAAAAGTCACACAAAAAATAAAAAATTGTGAATTTAGAGAGAGTGAGAGAGAGTGTGAGACCTGGAAGTGATTGACGGCGCGGTCTTTGTCTTGCAGAAGCTCATCATCTTGTTGCAGAGCAAGTGCAAGGCGAGATGAAGGTGTGGGGAAATGGGGTCATAGAAATGGAGCAAGGAAGCCGCACAAGGCTTGGGGCAAGCACTATGGATCTTCTCCTTGTGAGAATTTTGTTCTTCTGTGAATTGTGTGAAGGGTTTGAGGAAGAAGAAGAATGACGGTTGACCGTTTTTCTTTTTCTTTCCCGGGAATTTAACTGAATTTTGAGCTTTATTTACCTCTAAAATGGAACTTGAATGTGCTTTTGTAAACCAAATTTCAATCTACTCAATTTGGGCCTACTCTTAAATGGGCTTTTTTTTTGTAATTAAAGTTTGGCTGTTATTTAATTAGAATTTTGAAGAATTTTAACTGATATATGAAATTCAGTCTTGTTCTCCTAAAGTTCTCATCTTCAGGATTTTTAATAACCAAATGCATATTAACCACAAAATTATATTAGTTTGGATACAAAGTCTTAAAATATTTGACAACTTAATAAAACAAAACAAGAAAATGGGTTTTCTAATGGTTTATGGATTTTAAGTTGGTTTTACTTTATTAAGTTGTCAAAATATTTTAAGCTTTGGAATCTAAACTAATATAATTTTGTGGCTAATATACATTTAGTCCTCATAGGTCCTAAAAATGAGAACCTTAGGAGAGCAGGATTGTTTATAAATTTATGGATTTTAATGGAGTTTAATTGATTTCTAGAGATTTTAAGTAAAATTTGGAGTGAATTCCCTCAAATTCTCAGAGGGAGAAACAAAATTTGTGAATGCTTAAAATACACATGAAATCTCTCAAATTCGCTCGAATTTCTCAAAATTTTAAAATGAATTTGGTTCTTATGGTTTTGTCTCTAATACTAATATTTTTAGTAATTAAGTTAAAAAAAAAGTCTAAAAGTGGTGTGCTAAAGTGCATATAAGATTGGGCACTACGTGTTGATTGCTTCCATGGTTGAGTCTATTTTTTTTTATCCACACTTTTTGATTTGTGGCCACCTTCACTAGTCCATATAATTAACTTGAAAATTACAGAAGCTGAAGCTGAAGTGTAAGTGTACAACAATACTAAGGTTGTAACTAAAGCTAAATGAAAATTACAACAGGAAAGGGATTCGACTGTGAAAAGGAGTACTCCTGAACCAAATGGAGATGGGGACTGACGTTTCTCTTTCCGACGTTCGTGGTCGGAAAGATGAGATCTGATTTGCTTTGATGCTTTATGTCATTGTTAAGCTTTGATTGATGCCTTATGTCATTGTCTAACCGACAAACTGATTAGTTTATGATCTTATATATCATGGCAAAACTATCATATCAATTATGAGTTTTTCTTGTTTACATGGATAGTCATGTATGATGAGAGAGATAAAAATAAAAAGGTACGAAACAATAGATATGAGATCTTTTTTCCCACTATACATAGAGCAGAATATCTCTTATATTACAAAGAAGATTTACTAAGCACTTACAGATAGCGTTTTACCGCAGTGACAAAAAGCAATCGTGTCTATGCACCTTGGTGTGAGTTCATTCCTCACCGATTCTCCTCTTCTCTAACAACTAACTATTTAACCAACTAACGCTGTAACTCTATTAAAAAAAATTATGGAGGACAATAAAATATAAGGATATACAATATGGGTGGTACTATCCACACACTCATTTTACCTTTTATACACTCTTTGTTAATTTCTATCCATTGATCATCTTCAATTAATTGGATTTGACGGCCGAAAATTAAGAGATATGTGGAAGAGAAATAAAAGTGTGAATAGCATCACCCTAAAAAATATGTAGTATTACAACATATATCATTATCGGACTTGTAAAATTTCAACTACACAATTCCTCATCTTCGTAGAATATGCCCCTGAAATTGGTAATGAAGTTGCACATGAGATACCAATTAAGCAAGTAGCAATACAGGAAGAATCATCTTTGTGGATTGCAAAAAGTTGCAATCATTTATAGAAGATACCAGTTAATTAGCACCTTCTGTGAAAGCAACAACTCACACGTCCACGTTCATCCACCCTAATAAAATAGATTCGGCTTCTCCGTCGTTATCAACCAAACAAAAAAAACTTTGGTTAGATCTGTTTCTTGGTTCTCTCTCGAGCTAATTAGCTATGGCCTCCGTCCCTCCCTCCCATTTATGTATCTATTTTTCGAGTGAACTAACCCACCCTAACTTTCTCAGCATTACAAGAAACAATTTTTAATTTTGAAGATAGACACAAGAAAGAATTCAACAACCCTACATCTTATATGGTACATACATACATATAGAGGTGGCAATCAACCCATCGGTTTGTTAACATTTAGTTTGAATTCACTTTACATCATCATCACCACCACCAATTTCATCCTTATATTATGGTGATATCAAATTAAATGGGTCTTATCGGGTACGCATGTAACAACTCAATAGATTGATTTGTCACCTCTACATACTTACATATATATGTACCCTTCTGGTTTCTTGCTTATGAAGCATTAAAGAAGTGCTCAGATGTTTCTAAAGTGCATTAAAATGACAATATAAGTATGGGACAAATATACTAAGAAGGAATTCAAGGAAAAAGGAAAATTCTTAATGAATAGCTAGATACACATTGGTACAAATATATATATATATATATATATATACAGATTGCTTAAGGGAAGGGATCCTCATTTTTTGAAAAAAATGGGGATTAGGTGTGGGGCCCACTCCACATCGAATTTCAACGATCCGAACCGTCTATTTTGTTAGTCTTGATTCATAGATCATCCTTGCAAAATATTAGCTAAATCGGAAATGTTTAAGACATCTAATTGGGTTCAAGGAAATGAACGAATACTTTCTTATATAAGAAAAAATGAAATTTGATCTTGATAATAAATAGGCAAACGGTTTCGGATTGAATTGAATTTTTGCAAGGATGATCTATGAATCGAGACTAACAAAATAGACGGTTCGGATCGTTGAAATTCGATGTGGAGTGGGCCCCACACCTAATCCCCATTTTTTTCAAAAAAATGGGGATCCCTTCCCTTAAGCAATCTGTATATATATATATATATATATATATATATATATATATATATATATATATATATATATATATTCATACTAAACTAAAAAGTCCAAAGCATTTGCATATTATTGACAGATGAACGAAAAAGAAAAGAAAAAAAAAGTTGAAGAAAGAAGGCATCAAAATTTTGAAAGATCTCTACTTAACTCTCTTTGATATATATATATATGTATGTATGTATGGAACTATAATTTCTAGATTTAAGTGAAGGTTGTAGCTGTTGATTGAAGCCTAATTTGTCTGTTAAACCTCTGAATAAACTCTTCGGCTCTTTTGTTTAGTTCTTCGTTAGACATGGTCGAAAATTCATTGTCTTCATCAGCAGTTGGTTTGTGCTTCTGATAAGTCGTCTCTGACCTCCTTAGAGTGTTCTTCCTCTCATTGTTGATCACTCCTCTTTTCGCTTTCTCAGACTTACTTCGCCGATAAGTTTTTTCCCGAACATTTTCTCTTCCAGCGCTACAACTTTTATTCTGATCATTATCGCCTTTCAACACGTGGACTACCCTCTTTTCTTGGACGATTTCTGTATTTTGAGGTACGAGGAGTACTTCTTCATTCTTTGTTTTCCTATTGTTTCCCGCCTCTAATTGCTTAGGACTGCTTTTGTTGACAATTTGAGGGTATTGAGAAACAAATGAGGAAGCACTACGAGCTGCTTGGCTATGCATCATGTACTCTTGGTAAAAATAGTCTTGTTGGTCTTTGGAGGCCGAAGAGAATGCGCCACAGTCGACAGCGATAATGAGGATGAGGGTGTTGGATATGGCAAACCAGAACTTGGAGTTGTTGAAGACAGTTGAGAGGGAGATGTTGAAGATATGGAAGATGCAAATGTAAATTAGTATAGAGAAGAAAAAGGCCAAGATGGATATCCCTTTAGCTTTGTGAGGATAATATTCTCTGGATTTGTAGGGTTTCGCTAAATCTTGCACTAGATTTTGTTGAAGTTTGGCCATCTTATGTGGGAGAGAGAAGAAGCGGCAGTGCTTGAGATGCTTGTGGGGCGAAGTGTGGGTTTTTATATTTGGTTGGTAAAAGAAGTTCCAAATGAAGGGGTTTTAATACCGTGAGATTAGGGCACTGCCGGATATTTGATCAATAATTAAGACACTTCAATTATTAGAGATGTCACCTTGGCTTTTTAGTGATTTACCAGGTATGCCCCCAGGGTTCCGAATTGGGCTTGGCGTAGGAATATTGGCTGCTTCCATAAATAGCCAAAATAATGGAAAATTCTGCATTTTTATACTTTTTTTTTGCCGGATAAAAGTGAAAATAACAATTGGATAAGTGAACCTTAATTGAGAAGATTTTTTTTTTTTTGGTAGAAACCTTAATTGAGAAGGTTGGAACTTGCTACCTAAAAACAAGCTGCCACTTGTGCGTTTTTAACACCACAAAAGCCAATCACATAAAGGAATTAAAGTCAAATAGCAAAATCCATGTCAGAAAATGACGTGACGCGTGGCATTTGATGGCTAAAGATCGATCGTCTTGTATATTTGTACAGATATGTACAGATTGTGACGTGCATGCATGCATGGCCCGCAGTTCTCTGGATTATTAGGGCCACGTATGAAGGTTTTATTTTTTTTATTTTTTGGGAAAACGTAGGAAGGTAGGTATTACCATTACAGAAGTGAACCTTTCTAGGTTATGTGGTTTCTTGTGCTTATGAGCAATTGATTAAAATTAGCTCTCTCTCTCTCTGTATATGTGTTTTTTAAACTCTACAAGTGTTTCCATTCACGGTAGTTGGATATCGAAATCAAAAACCTGAACTTTCGGTTACTCATCTTTTACACAAGTTTACAATTTTTCGTGGGTGTGGGTCAATCCTTGACACCTCAGCTTTTTAATAAATCATGGTTTTAAGACTCGTAACCAAATTGTTAAAACTCAAATGCACATAACTAAATTGTTAAAACTTAAATATGAGTTTTGAGTCTAATCATGAACCTAATCAAATTGTTAAATTTTAAATACAAGTTTTGAGTCTAACGTTTTATTCTCCAATACAAAGACTCAAATCTTAAACTCAATGAGTCTTAAGATTTGAATCTTTGTATCAGAGAACAAAACCGAAAATACATAATCCACCTTTTCGAAATCCAAATATTCTCTTAGGTCTAGATTAAGTTTGAACTTATCTAAAAGTCTAAGCATGATTAATCATAGAATCATAATGACAATATAGACGTGTATCCCGTTATCAACCTATTGTGAGACATTGGATAACTCGCGTTTCACATCTGACTCCTATTTTATTTAGAAATGTATAAAATTGGAAGCTATCATATGTACTTTTTTTTTACAAACAATATTATCTATACTAAGAAGGTAGGCGAGTAGGTTAAGCTTTACAATGAACTAGTAATAATGTGATTCAAATTTGTCTTTAACAATAAACGAAGACCTCTCACTTACACATAAAGAATAATACTACTAGACCGTAATAACAAATAACAGCTATCATATAACTTTATATATACTATATTTCATGTGGTGCCTATAAAAATATAATTCCTAAATTGATAAAACTGTAATACTGGATCATTTTATAAAAATAATAAACCGTAACTTTGCTTACATTTCACTTTTCTGGCCACAAATTTTTGGGTGGTGTCTTTGTGACTTGCTTTATTTTAATTAAAAGCTGGGGAACAATCACTCGTGGAGATCCTGGCATGTCATTTGCTGATTGGTTACTTCAATATCTCTCTGTTTCGCAATCGAATCATGGAAGATATTATTAGCCAAATAGTCATATTCTATGTATGTAATTAGATTTTGTAGTAACGAGAGGGACACTCCAAGAACACAAAAACAAAAACGAGTTTGGTTTTAATTTGCTAAACTATACACTACTTTCATCTGATTATAAAATAAATATTTATATACCGCCTTGATCACGGAACAAGGGCAATGATTTGGGCTGCATGCATCTTCTGGAGTTTGATGACTCGTCCTAACTCAATCTTAATCAGTCAATTTATGGGGTTTGCTGATGTTCTCTATCATCGATGAAAGATACGAGGAACTCATGATCGTGTTGACATGGACACATAAAAATTGCTTTAATTTTCATAATTTTTTTCGTCTTAAATTTTGCATAAAATTGTAAGAAATAAAGGTGTTAAATTGCTACAAACAATAAATAGAAATTAAATATGTGAATATGTACACAATAGAACAAAAATAGAAAAATCTCAAATTGAGCCGAGGCAAGTGGCGAAGCTAGAAATTTATAACGATGGGGTCATAAAACAGAAGCTTCCAAAAACTGATCATACTTTTACTTATAATTGCCAATTTATAATTTATTCTGCAAAAAATTCATTCCAAATCAATCAATCAATACAAAAACCCTAAAAATCCCAATGAGCTGAAGATGAGAAAAATACTAATATGATTGATTCAGAGATACAACCAAGTGAGATGAAGGGTGCCTAACCGAACTTGACCACCGGAGAAACTTTAATTTAGGAGATATGAAGTCTGAGTGGAGAAGGGGTTTGCGTGTTTGATAAGTGTTCAGCTTGTTTGAGAAATAGCATGCTAAACTTTTATTTTTATTTTTAAGTGAAACAGAATACATAACAGTTTTGGTTTATGTCAATCTAAAGAATATTTGTTATAAATAGGCAAAATTTAGAGAGATAACCTTTACTCTGGACAGGAACGAAGCAGTTGCAGATTATTATACCAACACAAGCTGTTGCAGAGGAAGTAATGTATATTATTGCTATTAGATGTTTTTTTCTTCCAAGTCTCATTTGATCAAATGTAGTGCTCTATTTATAGAGCAACCTCATAGGAAACAAACAAATGACACTATTAAACTTGTGAGTCTATACTATACACATGTGGTACTTTACTATACACATGTGGACAAACATACCCATTATTTACAACACTCCCCCTTGGATGCCCACATATCAACATCAGTTGCCTCATTAAAACCTTGCTTGGAAAAACCCAGTGGGAAAAAACCATAGCGAAGGAAAAAGAGTACAACTTTACCCAGATGGTGTTGAGCATGCTTATGTTGCCTCGTTAAAACCTTGATAGGAAAAACCTAGTGGGAAAAATCCTAAGCGAAGGAAAAACAGTACAACATGCATGTATCATGGATGCTCCCCTGCATTCTATCTCCCCCTGATTCCACATTCTTCAAATTTGTAAGCCGACGTAATCCGATTCCCTGCACCAACTTCTGAAATGTGCACTTTGTTAAAGATTTGGTGAACAAGTTTGCTAAATTTTCATTGGAACATATTTGTTTGACTTCAATAACTTTAGCCTTTTAAAGCTCATGTGGGCTGAAAAATCTTGGAGATATGTGTTTAGTCTTATCATCTTTGATGAATCCTTCCTTCATCTGGGCGACACAAGCTGCATTATCTTCATGGATGACAGTTGGAATGTATGTCTTTGAAGGTAGACCACATGAATTCCGGATGTGATAGATCATTGATCTTAACCAGGAGCATTCACGACTTGCTTCATGTAAAACAATTATTTCCGAGTGATTAGAAGATGTAGCAACTAGCGTTTGCTTTGTTGATCGCCATGAAATTGCAGTATCTCCATTAGTGAACACATATCCATTTTGTGAGTGGGCTCTATGCGGATCGGAGAGAAAACCAGCATCTGCGTATCTAACAAGGATCTGTTCAATTATGGGCTTGTCTGAGTAGAAGAGACCCATATCTGTTATCTCACGAAGGTATCGTAGAACATCTTTAACTCCATTCCAATGACGAATTGTTGGAGCAGAGCTGTACCTGGCTAACAAGTTAACTGAAAAAGCTATATCTGGTCTAGTACATTGTGCTAAATATAATAAAGCACCTATTGCACTCAAATATGGTACTTCTAGACCAATGACCAGTTCATCATCGTCTTTTGGATGGAATAGATCTTTCTTAATGTCCAAAGAACGAACGACCATTGGGGTGCTAAGTGGATAAGCCTTGTCCATGCCAAATCGCTTCAGTATTTTTTCAATGTAAGCTGATCGATGGACCAAAATTCCATTAACACAATGCTCGATCTGCAGGCCGAGACAATATTTGGTTTTTCCAAAATCTTTCATTTCAAATTCGCTTTTCAGATAGTTAGCAGTTTTGTTGAGCTTTTCAGGGGTTCCAACTAGGTTCATATCATCGACGTATACTGCCACTATAGCAAATCCAGTATTTGATTCTTAATGAACACACAAGGGCAGATGACATTGTTGGTATATCCTTCTTTAATCAAATACTCACTGAGGCGATTATACCACATTCGCCCAGATTGTTTCAGCCCATACAGTGATCGCCTTAATTTGATTGAAAGCATACCTCGTGGTTTATTAGTTACTTCAGGCAACTTAAGTCCTTCTGGGACTTTCATATATATGTCAGTATCTAATTCTCCATATAGATACGCGGTGATGACATCCATAAGTCGCATGTCAAGTTTTTCTGAAATCACCAAACTTATTAAGTAACGAAACGTAATTGCGTCTATTACAGGAGAGTATGTCTCTTCATAATCAATTCCAGGTCTTTGTGAAAAACCTTGTGCAACGAGTCGTGTTTTAAATCTTGCAATCTCGTTTTTCTCGTTGCGTTTCCTTGTGAATACCCATTTGTAACCTACGGGGTTCACACCAGGCGGGGTTTGGACTATTGGTCCAAAAACACTTCGACTTTCCAAGGAATTTAATTCTACCTGGATCACATCTTTCCACTTAGGCCAATCTTGTCTCTGTCTGCATTCATCAACAGGGCGAGGCTCAATATCATCACTTAATATAAATTCAGTGGCTATTGCAAATGCAAACATGTCGTCGATGATTATTTCATTTCGATCCCACAATTCATTAGTACATGCATAATTTATGGATATTTCTTTACTTTCATGTACGTTTGTCTCTTCAGGGACATGTGTCTCATCAAGGTCATTTTCT